CGTGTTCTGTTTAACCTACATGCAAGTCATTTCCCTTTCATCAGTGTCACTTCAGCGACTAAAGGACCGCTCACTAAACACTTGTGCGGGTTGGTTTCATGATTGATGGGCCTCTTTAGAAAGGAGTTCACTCACCTGGACTGAACATACACCAGAAACACTCGATTTCACATTTCAAGCCCTGTTCAGGTGAGTTTAGGGCCATCCGGTGCAACTGGTGCGGTCGCACCGGGCCCCACATTTTGTAGCGAACGGACAGATGGGGACAAAATAATGAATAGAAAGTTCAAAATAGAAACCAGGCCCCATGTCAGCTAAGGATGGCCCTGGGTGAGTGATATCGTGTTCATTGTATACCATAATAAAATAAAGTAATACAAATAACAGAGTTTTATTTAACTCAGTTGTTAAATAAACAGACGGAGACAGAGAGAGACTGGAAATCCTCGAGGATCAGGGAATGAAGTCCTCACTGGGAATGGGCCAGAAATCCATCTGTTTCCATGACAACCTCTTTTTTGGTCATTGGACATTTTCTTTATGCACCAATACTCCTCTCTCTTTCTCTCTCTCTCTCTCTCTCTCTCTCTCTCTCTCTCTCTCTCTCACACACACACACACACACACACACACACACACACACACACACACATATTACTGTGTATTCTAAAATAAAGATATTTATAGTTAAAATAATCTTGTTAAGACGTTTTATTGGCATTTTAATTTGAAATGTTGCTTAATATTATCATTATAGTAATGGGCTAACAGGGTGGTGTGTTTTTGAAAGCAGCGGGTAATTCATTTGGCGCTAATTTATGTTTACTGTAAATCACCGCGCCCCCTGCTGGATAAAACACACCGACTGATGTTCATGAAGAGATTCTCACCTGTTTTTGGTTTTAGACCTGTAACATATATATATATATATATATGTGTGTGTGTGTGTGTGTGTGTGTGTGTGTGTGTGTTGCATCATCACAAAGCGCTGACGCCGCTTCTGACCGCTAGATGGCAGCAACAACATTGAAAATGACATGACTGACCTTCACTGAACACTTTCCAACATAAAAACGAGGAATTTATTAATATTGTTTATTAATTTAGTTTATATATCTTGTTGAAAATAAAATCTTAAACAAGCTTTAACTGGTTTGCTGGTGTAATGTGGCCTACCTGGTGTTCAGCTGGTTTAGCTGGTCATTAAAGTGGTCCTCCAACCTGACCAGATCAAATGTGCCCCAAAACCCTCTAAAACCAGGCTGTGAGACCAGCTAATACCAGCAAACTCTCTTAGGCTTTTTCTTCCTTTATTTGATGTCACACAAGAATAATTTGTTCAGTTTCGACATAAATACAATAAAGAACATATTCCTTAAACTACACGTTTATCAACAACACAAAGGCCCTTACAGTGTTTATTTATTACCTGTTTTTATGTGTAAAAATAATAAATAAAAACAAAATATTTTTTATTATAATATTTATTATTATTTAAAATAATTAGTAAATTTTTAATAAAAAAAAAATCTACATTTTGCATTTAAAATTTAAGTGCATTATACCAGTTCACACTCCTTACTATAAACACTAGGAAACTAGTAACCTAGAAGTATTTAAAAATAACGAATACATTTTAAATTCAAAATTTTGTATTTATATTTAGAAGTTTAAAAAGAATTATACAGTTATTTAATTATAATTATACAATTATTTAATAATAATAATAATTAAATACAAATAATTCATACATTTTAATTCAGGATTTTGCATTTATTAATAATAATAATAATAATTCAATAATTCAATACAAATAATTCATACATTTTAATTCACATTTTTGCATTTAAATGTAAGTGCATTAAGGACCAGTTCACACTCCTTTCTTTAAAAATGAGGAAACTAATCTTGTAACGTTTACTGGCTAACAGCAAGTAAATTAAAGTCTTTGGCTGTGCATGTTAGACGTCTTCAAGTTAAGTATGCTGTATGGCAGGGATCCTGTATGTCTTTCTTCAGTAATCAAATGAAAGCCCACTAAACAGAAAATTTAGGGTCACAATCAGTACATTACAAACTAATTCGCAGCTGTTGCCTGATAATCAATCATTATAATAATGTAAACCATAATCAGGGAAAATCTCTGTTTATTTGTCTGCAGTAGTACTGTATTTGTACAGAAGCACTTCTTCTCCAACTAGATAACATGTTTGCATCTCCAGCTTCATTTGTGAAGCTAAAGCCCCTTCTGCACAAGAGCGTCTGCAGAAAAGTCAAAGTTTTTACTGCACCAAACCTTTGGAAATCACCCGTTTATGGGCAGCGGGACAGTTAATGTTCAACTGTGTTTTTCTCCGTCCACATGATCACATTCTGTACAGGTTTAACACTCCCAGAGTTCCTGGCCTTCTAAGATGTCATGGACACACAGAAATAAACTCGCTGCTCATCAGCTGTAACTCATCTGGGGACATTACTCTAACGCACAACTCTCTGGAGAAAGATCTTTTATTTATGCATAAATCTTATTTTGTGTTGATGTATTTTCTGTGTGAAATACAGATGTTGCTGCAGATTTACTGAGATAATGATTCACTAGAGAGAGAGACACGGGAAGAGACAGCGAGACACAACAGTGAGAAAACACAAAAAAGAGAGATTGTGTGCTGGGCCGCGGAGAGAATAAAGGCAGGAGGACTGTGATTAATGACCTGTGTTCAAAAGTAGTAATATCATGTATCACAGAATGAATGGTGAAACCTCAGAGAAGGAGGAGCAAAAGACCCACCATTATTTTCACCGGTCAGGTTTCAACCATTGATGTACATTAGGGGTGTGGCCAATCCTTAAGCATGTGGCTAATGCTGGTGGGTGTGGCTAGGCTGCTTTGGTTTTTCTCATTTCATTTCAAAATGTAGCTATATTATACTAGATATTTTATAGTGACTAAATGTAGGCTAAAATGTCTATACTTTTTAATACATTATTATATATTATGATTTTGTTAACTGTTTATTGCTTTTTATATTTACATAACCAAATTCAACAATACTAACATGCTATGTTAACACAAACTTATAACAAACAATTAAATACATTCACAAACAAATAATCAGCCAGAAAAAAGTAAATAAATAAAAAATATATATATACACAGTATACATATACACATACCAATTACACACTTCTAGTTTATACATGCATATACAAACAAACATATACAAAATAAAATAAAGTTTAAGGCCTCCTAGTACAAGACAACTTCAAGAGTTTTTTTCCAAGCTTAAGCCTATTGCTTGCATTTGAACGCAGAACTGTTCAGCTGCGCTGACGGCACGCACCATACATACTGCTGCTGCAGTTTTTTCATCACTAGCCTAATTGATGGATGTTTCAAATATAAAAATAAGGAGAAGCCTAAAACAGGCTGAGGCCCGGCCCGCGTCTAAACTATGACGTGAAAATTGGCCCGAAGCCCTGCCCGAGGGGCGTAAAAAAGTTGGGGCCCAGGCTGAAATGCAGGGCTCTAAGGCAGGCGAGTAATCCACAGACAGATGTTAATCCAGGTGAGGTGCGAACAGAATCCAAACAACAAGACAAGAGAGAAATCCAAGACAGGCAGATTATCAGGAACAGACAATCAGGCAAAACTAGACATTACAAAACAGGACTAGAACTAGACTAAACTCAGACAGGATACTGGCTCCGTAAAGTGCTACCACTAGGAGAGTGATAAACACAGACAATACTCCACAGTTTGAGAAGGATCTGAGTGGGTGTAATATAGTGTGTGTGTGATTGTCTGCAGGTGAGTCCAATCAGTGCAATGGAGCATGGGAAATGTAGTCCAGGGTGACGTGCAACAGTTTGTGTGGTGTGAGAGTCAATGTGGCGAGCAGACGGAAGACCACGGACCAGATTTGTGACAAATAGCGCCACCACAAAAAAATTATACATTTTAGATTTTAGATTTTGACAGCATATTTCCTTATTTGTATCAGAAAATGTTTGATAATAAATGTTATAAATATTATCATTACTATTATAATTGTATTATAAATATTATATTATATCATTTATATTTACAGTATAAATAAGTATTTACATATAAAATATGTAATTTAATCAAATAAACCAAAATAAATAATAATTAAGTAACTCACCATTGTGTTAAATTTGTGGTTGGTGTCCTCTAGACCCTCAGATGTTTGATTTGTCTTATTCTGAGGCTGTTTCGTTGTGTCCTGTGTCTCAGCTGGTCTGAAAAACACGAAACGGTTTTCTTTTGAATCACTCTCAGTGCTGATGTTTACCCACTAATAATAATGATTGTTTCGGCTCATTGAGTTCAGATGTAAGTTTGTTTTGTTGTCAAATGCATTTGTTTTTCATAAAAGAATGCAGATGAGAGAGCAGGTTAGTAATACAAGTATTTTGCACGATGGATTGCAACTTCTGGTATATCTGCTTACATTATTAGCCTCTCGAAAACTAAACCAGAACAGAATGTTACACTGACTAATATTTTCAGATATTAGTAATAATACTGTCTGATATTAATAATATATTATTGGTTCACCGTTGTGAGCAGTTATGAAGGTGGGGCTACAAAAATGGGATCAACAAAAATAAAAAAAGATTTTCACGTGACCTGCCAACATTTTCAATAGCTCCAAATGTATTTGTATAAACATTGAATATATTTGAAAATAAATATTATATATTATAAAATTTATAAATAAATATAATATTTCAAATATAATTTTAATTGTAAAAATTTAATAAAATTAAAAATGTTATGAATAAACTTAAAATTAAATCAAAGTAAAATAGATAACATTGTTTACAAGATAGATAGATAGATTGTATTACTGTATTAATATATATGTATACAGTGGTGTGAAAATGATATTTAGATTAAAGGACTGGGGGGGAAACAGGAGAGCATTGGGTTTTCCATATAAGAAAATGTGAGGGATAAAAGAGAGAGAGAGAGAGAGAGTTCATTGACTCTCACTGACTTACTCCAGTATGGCGAGATCACACAGAGCCGTCTGTCGTTACACCGGAGATCTCGTGAATGAATCGTGACTCAGCTGCACTGAATCATCGGATACGATGAGAATCTAATGAGAAATCAGAGGCGGAGATGAGAGTCTGATGTTGGAGGGTTTTTAACAGGATCCGAGCGGCGGAAATTCGCTCCGGTGAGTCAAAACCGAACTTCTGCTCTTCACTTCACTAAACCTCCATTAAACCTAGAACTCTACACGACAATACAACGCTTTAAATAATAATTGAACACTATAAACTGTAAAGAAAAAAAAGTATCATATCTGCAGGAAAGAAAGAAACTCTTGAGTGAATGAGGTGAAGATGGAGTTAATGTTTGACAACATGGCTGCTCGCTTTCATCTCTTCATTCTTCTAACTTAAAGAAATAAAGTCTTAGTCCTTGGTAATTCCTATATAACACACATGCACGTGTAGATGTTGGGTTTGTTTCTGTGTGGATTGAGCAAACGCGTCTGTTCTTGCAGTCGAAACAGTTTCCGATCAGCGAAAACAACAAACGCGAAACATCCTGAAACTAACTTCTTACTGAACATCAGAGGTTCATAGAGATTTCAGCTCTTCTTGTGTATTTGTATGTTTATGGGAAATTTTGCAGCTAGTATATGCGTTTTGTTGTGTTTTCGCAGGAAGTCAGAAAGAGAAACTCGAACACATTAAAAGGCTTTGACAAAAATACCATAGTATTACCATGCTTTTGAACATGTGCCGTGACTCATTTCTTTGAATTACTTTGTAACAGTTACATTGTTTACAAAAAAAGTACTATTGTAGACCACGATAGTACTTTATACCATGGTACTGAAATTCATGGTATTTATTTACCTGGTGCTATTTCAGGGTATTTCGAAAAATATCATGGTGCCATGTCCAAAAAAACAAAAACAAAATAAAGCATGGTCGTTCTGTGGTACTGATGTAAATGCTCATTCAGTACCATGGTATGACCACAGTATATTTTGTGAGAATGGGGTAAATGAATCAGTTGTGTTGTTTTCTGTTTGGTTGATCTGACATTGAACTTTGAGTTCTGGATTGGAAATTAAACCTCTTTATTAATAAACAGTGAGACCATAGTGTCCCTAAAGTATTAACCTAAAGTTATTTATGTGGTACTTGGAAGAATTTGATGCTGCTACTGCTACCATAATGGTGGTGTCCTAAATAGCATGGTGTAATACCATGGTACTTTTTGTAAGAGGCTGTAACTTGTGCTCTAGTGAGATACAATCTAAGACAGAGCAAGTTATTCACTTTTAACAGAAGATAATGAGAACAGACAGTGTTTTTCTTTGGATCCAGACACAGTAAGACCAGAAAAAGAAGTCAAAACTGATGCTGTTATCTGTGAGTTTGAGAGATCATATTTGTGCATGTTCATACCAGACCAGAGAGAGTTGAAGTCGTCACCGAGGCAAAAATAACCATGAGTGTCTTCATGCCAGTACTTTTGTATGTGTGTATGAGTGTGTGTGCGAGTGAGTGTGAATGGGCCCCTGCTGCTTCTTAAAACAAAGTGTTCGAAATCCATTTATTCAAGTGACCTGAGTAAAAGCTCCCTCACACACACACACACACACACAGAGAGAGGTTGACAGAGATTTGAGATCAGGAATCCTTGGAATGTTTGTCCCCCTCGTCGGATATTCTGCCTACCTGCTACACACACACATGCATGCATGCATGTCCACATTTACAGTGGCATTCAGACAGACCAATGGCCTCTTCACGAATTAGGACTTTATAAAATAATCATACGAACCAGCAGACCCTAAAAGGTGTGTGTTCATATATTGATTGTGACATCATTGCACAGTCCGCAGAACGTCTTGAACATTTAAAGGAACAGTTCAGCCAAAAATGAATATCCTGTCCTTATTTAGGGTATGTTTACCTGACAATGATTTACTATAGAACTGAAAAGTTTTTCTTTGCATTTTTTTTTTTTTAAGTTTTGTGTACTGATAACAATGTTGTCAAAACAATCCCTTATTCACACTGATCCACGAAAAAGACTAAAACGCTGTATTATGCATGCCAGGCCACTTCAGTAGTTGGCGATGTCACTTTGTAAAGAAAGTCCTTCATGCTTATTTGAAAACTACATGGTATGTGTTTTGGAGCAGGGTTGGAACAAATCTCCGCAGGGCTCTGGCCCTCCAGGAACTGAGTTTGACGCCCCTGGTCTACAACAGCTGTTCTCAGTTCCAGACCTGGTGTACCACTGCTCTGCACATTTTGTTTGTCTCCTTTATTTAACGCACCTGATCCAGACTCCAGGACTGGAATTGAGAACCACTGGTCTACAATAATATCGCAATTGTTATTTAAACAATATGTGATTTGACATTATCTAGTACATTGCAAAAACCAAACAAAAACACACCAAGAGAGTGCACACATATGATGTAGGTTAGACTATTGCGCGAACACATTTAGAGTTCACGCTTTCACTGCACGATTTAGTCTATAAAAATACATTTACCCCCGGTTTCACAGACAAGGCTTAAGCCTAGTCCCAGACTAAAATGTAAGTCTGAGCTGTTTCAAATGAAAGAAACACTGACTGATCTTAAAATATATCAGTGCCTTTGTTTTGCCTCAAGATGCACACGAGTAGTGTGTTTTTTTTCTAAGGCACTTTTATAAAAATGACTTAAATGTCCTAATTGAACTATGGCCTAATCCTGGCTTAGTCTAAGCCCTGACTGTGAAACCAAGCCTAAGAATTCCCCTGAAAGTCAAGATAAGGGGGCAAAAATGCCCCTGTATGACGTTTATATGTCTTTTATATTTATATCATCTGATATAGTTAATAGCACACGAAGAGTGACATTTTCTCCAAATATCAGCATAATTGTAAATGTGATATTGATTTGATGAACATCTCAATAAACAAGTTCATATTAAGTGATTTACATTTTACACACAACAGTTCTTGTTTTTGCTGTACTTCGACAACGAAAATAGTTCCAAACAAAGCCACAGTAGAACTGTTTTGCATCTCAGAGCATCACACTACAGAGTTTCAACAACTGTTTGATCGAATCGGTTGAATGAGTGACTCTCTCATGCAGTGATTTTAGGTTTATATTTAAAGTATATTTTCCCTTTTTTCCCCCAAATAATTTCAAACATCACTATTTAACGGTTTGTTTTTAAAACATCAAAACATGATGTATTTGTACCTGCAGGTTAAATGCATTCATGTCCTGCATTAAACAGTCTGTGTGAATGCATCAAAATGCCACTTCAGATGCAGATTCTGTGCCACCTCTGCATTGCAAACACAAATTTTGTTGATTCTAATTTCATTTGATTCGTAACAGTCCTATAGTGTTTTACCTTTTGAATTTATTGATTAAATTTAAGAATTTGAGACAAAAGATAATGCATACATTTATGCATCCCATAAAAGCATGGATAATACCAGTGGTAACCAAAAAATATCAACTTCTTATTCTTATCTTTTGATTGTTTGTTTTTAAAACATCAAAACATGATGTATTTGTACCTGCAGGTTAAATGCATTCATGTCCTGCATTAAACAGTCTGTGTGAATGCATCAAAATGCCACTTCAGATGCAGATTCTGTGCCACCTCTGCATTGCAAACACAAATTTTGTTGATTCTAATTTCATTTGATTGGTAACAGTCCTATAGTGTTTTACCTTTTGAATTTATTGATTAAATTTAAGAATTTGAGACAAAAGATAATGCATATATTTATGCATCCCATAAAAGCATGGATAATACCAGTGGTAACCAAAAAATATAAACTTCTTATTCTTATCTTTTGATTTTGTGGTGAAATAGAGCCGGATGTGTTCTTGACAGCTTTCATTAGTTACCCTGTATTTCAGTGTGTTTAACTTCTGGGCTTTCGGCCTTGTTTGTCTCTCTACAAAATGCAAATAGAGCTGATGCCAGTCCTGTGAAACACAAACACACACACAGTCTTTCCTGTGCTCCGTCATGTCTCTGCTGAATGGATGTGACGTCTGAGTTTGATCTTATTTTTGTGCACGAAGTAGGGATGTAAAGATGAATCGCGAGCCGGTTGAAATCGATTTAAATATGTGACGATTCAAATCGGTTGAGATGCTAAACAAATCCCGATTCAATTAGGGGTAGGAATTTATGAATGTATGTCTGAGGGGAACTTACTGTCTTTAGAAAAGTTTAGATGGTATTTTTTATTTTCCTCTTGCCTCTGTATAATGCATATTAAAGTTCATAAGTGCAGCTGCTGCTTTGTTTACAGCAGAAACCAAGGAAACGCAAAGTGATTCTACATCTCGTTCAGCTCGTCTGCTGTTTCTGTTTCATGCAGATATTTTTTATGTATAGTTTCACAAAACTGAAGTCAATCCATTCTGTTTTTGCTTCAAATTTCGAAATTATACAATGTAATTTATGTTGCATGTATGCAGCATCTTTGTTTGGATCATGATTAAAATGCAGTGTTATATTTCAGTTTCACAAAGAAACGTACAGTATTTTGTCCAAGCAATAATAAAAGGACACATTTAATTTATAATTTGTCTTAAATCTCATTTTGTTAAAAAAAAAATCATGAATCGAATCGTGAAATCAAAATCGTGAATCGAATCGTGAGTTGAGTGAATCGTTACATCCCTAGCACGAAGACATTGAGCTGCATGAGAGAAAGACGCTGATGGAGAACAGAGGAGCGTCTGAAAGGGAGTTTAGGGCCGCTGTCTGCGGGAACCGTCTGAAGGCTTTGTTGATCTTCCTAGAGGAGATATTCAATCATTCGCTTCACATCACGCCAGAGAGAAACTGATATGAGCTGGCAGAGGAGGAAAAGAACACAAACTCCTACATAAACTAATAAAAAATATCTTCAGATGATTAATTAAGACACTTATTAGATGCTAAATATACACGCAGTATTTAAGCACGCATGGTGTTTAAACAGGCAGATGGAGCTGTCAGTTGTGGTCGTCATAGCAAATGTTACTGTGGTAAATGTTTCCATAACACACAGTCATACACCGCTGCTACTGTAGAGAGTTACAAACCAGCTGATGAATTAATAGTAATTATTCCTTTTAAATATTATGCCACACACACTTACTCTGACAGGTGGAAACCTTTTTTCAGGCTGGTTGACATATGAATGTCAGGCGAGCGCTTGAGTTCTTGCAATCCAATGTTTTATTGATTATGTAAATGTGTTTTTATTGCTAACTTAAACATTTGGTGTTCTGTGATGTCTTCAACATTACCACAGTCATCTGAAGTCAGTTTGTCACCAATGTAATGTTATCTAGCTGCAAGATGAGGTTTTGAATTTGCAAAAATTGTTGTGAAACTCAGTAATGTTTGTGAAGCAACATTTACAAATTTACATTTGTCATGGCGTTATTGCAAATTGTAAACAATATAATGTATTGCAATTTTACATAATTTTTATATAATTTTTAAATATTATAAAACAAATGTGTATATGTATATATAATCTTTTAAATTTATATGTAATTTTAAAATATAAAATAAATGTTTAGAATATTTAAAAATTAATATGTATTCTGATTTTTATATACTCTTTTATTATATATGTGTGTGTGTGTCTGTAGTAAACAGTGATATGTATTTTGTGAAGCAACATTTACAAATTTACATTTGTCATGGCGTTATTGCAAATTGTAAACAATATAATGTATTGCAATTTTACATAATTTTTATATAATTTTTAAATATTATAAAACAAATGTGTATATGTATATATAATCTTTTAAATTTATATGTAATTTTAAAATATAAAATAAATGTTTAGAATATTTAAAAATTAATATGTATTCTGATTTTTATATACTCTTTTATTATATATGTGTGTGTGTGTCTGTAGTAAACAGTGTTATGTATTTTAATATAAATAAATTTTTTTTTTTTAAATGTTTAAAATATAATATATATACACACAAACACACTTATGGAGTTTTGTTTTAAATGTTTTATATTTATTTAATTGTATTTATTTATTTATTATATTTAAATATGGCAAACAATTGTTACATATATATTTAGAATATAGTGAACATATATATTATACAATATAATAATTTTGAATTATATATAATATTTGTTTTAAATATATTTTCAGTATATTTTTCTGATACAAATAAGGAAATGTGTTGCTATAATAATGTTTTGTGTGTGTTGGCTCTATTAATGTTGGCATGACAAGTAAAAACATTTTTCTTCTGCTTTGGACTGTAGCCATTGTTTCATAACTGCTCACAGCAGTGAACCAATAGTATCTGGCAGTATTATTAATATCTGGCTGTAATATTAATATCTGACAGCATTAGTCAGTGTGAGTATAGCAGCAGCATTCTGTTCTGGTTTGGTCTCAGAGGGGCCGTGATGTCTGAAGTAAATGAGCGGCTCAACTCTAGGTTTGGTTCTGAGCTGAATGCAGGTATGAATGGAGGTTCGAGAATGAACTGCATCAGCACAGGCTAAAATCTGTCTGACCACACACACACACACACACACACACCTCATATGGTGCCTTTACATAATTGTTTTCCACTTATAGTGTGTGAGTGAAAGGTCATGTGTTTGGGCGGCTGACAGGAATAGTAAACTCACTGCCGCCCGCCTGTGTGACTCCTTCTCTACTTCCACTTTGAGGGTGTTTGTGCTTGTGCAGAGGCAGAGACAGAGACGGTGTGTTTGAGTTGATTGTGAACTCCAGCAGCAGTTTAATACTGAAATGAAGCTGAAATGGAGAATTAAAAAATACATTAGACAACTGGAGTGTGTTTCTGTGATGCATCAGCTGGCATTATGGGTTGGATTCTTCACCTCAGCCCTTTTCTCTTGAGAATTGTGTGCTGTTTGTGGATGCCTCGATTGTCAGTTTAGTCATTCGCCTTAAAATAGAAATAGAATCAGCTCTTTCCTGTATCTTATGCATGGCAACACCAGTTTCCCACTGAATGCATGAAATGCATTTCATGCATCTAAAAGCTACTAGATATAAGTATCTGCATAAATGTTATATATATATACAGGTGCATCTCAATAAATTAGAATGTCGTGGAAAAGTTCATTTATTTCAGTAATTCAACTCAAATTGTGAAACTCGTGTATTAAATAAATTCACTGCACACAGACTGAAGTAGTTTAAGTCTTTGGTTCTTTTAATTGTGATGATTTTGGCTCACATTTAACAAAAACCCACCAATTCACTACCTCAACAAATTAGAATATGGTGACATGCCAATCAGCTAATCAATTCAAAACACCTGCAAAGGTTTCCTGAGCCTTCAAAATGGTCTCTCAGTTTGGTTCACTAGGCTACACAATCATGGGGAAGACTGCTGATCTGACAGTTGTCCAGAAGACAATCATTGACACCCTTCACAAGGAGGGTAAGCCACAAACATTCATTGCCAAAGAAGCTGGCTGTTCACAGAGTGCTGTATCCAAGCATGTTAACAGAAAGTTGAGTGGAAGGAAAAAGTGTGGAAGAAAAAGATACACAACCAACCGAGAGAATCGCAACCTTATGAGGATTGTCAAGCAAAACCGATTCAAGAATTTGAGTGA